ACCTGAGCAATTCTGAAGTACACAGCGTAATAGACACTGTAGGTAAGTAGCTTTATTCTGAGAACACAACTTCATTTCTTATAGTTGCCTCTTTCTTCCTACAAGTCAAAAGTGAGTTTAGGTAGAACAAGTTTAGCTAAATTCTGCTTGACACTTGGGAATACAGAATTCCACAAACTGGTAGGAATTACAGTGTCCTACTTAGGGAATGGAATTAAAAAGAGATAAATATTTTTAAAGTTCCAGATAACTAAGAAATTGCTTCTGTTATAGAAAACTTAGTGAGACTTGTGCGGTTCAAACACCAATCTGAAACTAAAATTACTAAATCGCATAGTTGAATCCAGAATCTATATTTTTAAAAGTTCAAATTTAGTGTTTTACTTCAGAAAATGTGAATAAGCCATCACCTGAAATAAATGTACATATGGATATATACACATAATAGTAAGCTTTGATTTAAATAGTTTTGGTGCAACTTAACCAAAGATCTTTTAAACCATTTCATAAAGAGTATATAGATTTTTTTTAAAGTTTTATAAAAAGTTATAGAGAGAGACATTAACACTGGTATAATAGACAGCAATATTGAGGATAAATATACTAAATCCAGTAATTACTATCTTTTCATAGTATCTGAAGTTAAAATTTGATTTAACAAAAAGAATTGATTCTCTATGAAATTAATATTCTAACTACATAATGATATAGACACCACTAACTAAAACTAATAAATTAGACTGGCTGACATTATGGCTTAAACAATCTTTTGTTAAATTTATCAGTGGCAAGAGTATTGAGGTAATAAACTATCTGTACAAATATTCTGGAAAACAATTTGGCAGGATTTAATAAACTTAAAGATGTCTATGCTCTACAAAATGCTCTCGAGTGCACAAATTAACATGATGCTAATCAACAATGTTAAACAAAAAGTAAGCTAAAGAAGACAAAAACAATAGGTTCCATTTACTAAAAAAGGTAAAGCCTGCAATAGCATTGCTAAGGGACACGTATATGCAGAGGACAACTAACAGCACAGAAATGATAAAGATCAATACTGGATAGTGGCTACCCTGGTGGAAGAAGGGAAAAGAAGTGAATAGCAAAGATGCAGAGCAGCTTCGACAGAACTGAATGGGGTGGGGATATACAGGAATTCACCTTATTAGTTTTTATGCCTTCTATGTCTTAAATATTTCATAATAAATTAGAAAACATTCTGGCAGATAACAAAGTCCTATTTATGCTGTCAGATTTAGTGTAATGAGACTGATACATAACAACAATATTTTAATGCTACACCTTTTCTTCCAAAAGAGTAACTGCTTAAACTTTTGAAAACATTCTCCCATTGAACAAGTGTTTACTAAACACTATGTTGTTTTTCTCATTCTAAATATTTAGCTCCCACTACACGCCAGATACAACAGTACAAGCAAAGCTGTTGTTCTCTGCTCTCAGGTAGCTTAAAACCTAGTGGAAGCAGTGAGGAATAATCAAATAAGCACATGATTAACCATACTCCACACCTGCTCTTTCCTTCCTCCTGAAAATACTTCCTTCACTCAGCTCATGGGACTCCCCAACTTATACCTTTGTTTTCCTCCTAAGTCATCAGCTGCTGTGTCTTCGTCTCTTTTGCTAGTTCCTCCTAAACATTAAATAAGACCCTTCTACTACATTCTCTCCTGGTAGTCACACCCATACTTTTAGTATCTCTATACTGACATCTCCCAAACTTGTATGTCCAACCTGGACAGGGAATATACGCCAGTATGTATTACTTAGCTCAGCATTCTCCTTGGTATCAACAAGGCATGTAAAACGGAACATGTCCAAAGCCAAACTCCTGCTCTTCCTCAAAATCTGCTCCTCCGGCCTTTCTCCACAAGGAACACTGTACATAAAATTCTATAACGAATGACCCAGGAGTTGTGAACACAATAATAATTTTCCATCTCAGAGAATATTATCAACTACATGCTTCTGGTGTCAGACCATAAACCTTGGCATCATCCTTGACCCATCCTGCATACAGCATCTGACTTCTCACCACCTCTTCCTGCATACAGCATCTGACTTCTCACCACCTCTTCCTGCATACAGCATCTGACTTCTCACCACCTCTTCCACTCCCACCCTGATCCCAGCCACCTTCACCTCTCATCTGGGCTCCCTGATTTAAGACTGGTACCACCCCCACCACCAAATCCCCATGCTTACTTCCCCACATAGCCTAGTCAGATACTTAAATAAAACTCAAGTCAGAAGTTGTCACTCTTCTTCTCAAACCCTCCAACAGTTCCCATCTTGTTTGGAGTGATGGTCTACAAGGCCCTCTGCCACCCAGCCCTCACTCTACCTCACCTCCTACTCCCCCACTCGCTCACTGCAGCTCACTGGCCGGTGCCCTGGCTGCCCTCTGCCTGGAACACTCTTCTCCTAAACACCCATATGGCTTGCTTTCTCACCTCCTTCAGATCTTGGCTCAGACGTTACCTTCTCAGTAAAGCCTTCCTGACCATCCTCTCTAAAACCACAAGTCCCACTGTCCCTTCTCCCTAGCCTCTTTTGGCTGCTTCATGCTTTTCATGACACACTGTCCAGCTCACCTTATTCAAAAGTTGGATCCACTAGTGCAGGAATTTTTGTTTGTTCACTGCTATATTTCAGCAACTAATCCAGTGTCTGACAACATAATAGATACTCAGTAAATACTTTTTAAATCGCAACACATAAACATAAAACTCCAACTGACAGTCCAATGAAGAACAAGAGTGTTAGGACAGCCTGGAGGAAGACAAGAAAAGCTACCTGAGAAGTCAAGCTTTTTCTGAGAACTGAAGGATGAGCAGGAGTTAATTAGGATATTAGGATGTGCATAGGCTCAGTGGTAAGGGACTAAAAGTCCAGTGTAGACAGTCCAGAAAGATGTGGAAAAGGTGTAATGAGGCTGGAGGAGGTAGGAAGAGGCAAAACTATGGTGAAATTTGTAGACTAGGACAGTTTGTCTTATCTGCAGAGCAACGAGCAGCCACCAAAGTGTTTTAAGCAGAGGGATCACATGACCAGATATATATATGTTGAAAAGATTACCATGGCTACTGGGTAGAGAAGAGTTTAGCTGCAGTAGATCAGATAAGGCATTGTAGTAATTCAGCTGAGATCAAATGTTATCTTGGACTAGGGTGTTGGGAATATAGAATGAATGAATAGATACTTAGGTTAAAAAACCCAGTGGGTTTTGTGTCAAATTAGATCAGGAAGTGGGGTCAAGGGAATTTTAAGGTTTACTTCTAAGTTTCACAAAGTAATGTTAGATGTCACAGCAAAATAAAAATTTCCCACTGACTTAAGTCCATGACTTTAAGAAGTCATTATCTAGATCTTCAATGTCCGGGCCCTAGCCACAAACGGATATTGAGCACTTGAAATGTGGCTACCCCAAATGAGTATGTGCTAGAATTGTACAATATACACTGGATTTCAAAGTCCTAGCCAGGAAAGAAGCACATAAAATACCTCAATAAATGTTCTACCAATTACAAGTTGAACTGGTAATATTTTGGCTACAGTGGGTTAAATAAAATTATTAAAATTAATTTTACCTCTCTTTTTACTTTGTAATATAGCTATTAAAAAATGTAAAGTTATATAAGGGATTCACATCATATTCCTATTGAATAGCACTAATCTCACATGAAACAGCAAGTAAGTCATGGCAGTTCATTCAAAAGGAAGAAATATGTCTAAAAGAAAATGGCTGAATTTCGGGGCCAAAAATGTAATTTTTTGTAAAGAATTTAGTTTTCATTTTTGTTTTTTTAAATCAGGGATATGAATAAATGAATATTTCAGCTTTTGTCATTTAAATACAAAAGCCATTTTCTGTTTGTACCCAACTTATAGAATGGATTGTTCTTCTAATGCTAATCTAATGGTTTTACTGAGAGAAATCCTCTGTGGCATGAGGGAAAAGTTAGGAAAACAGAGAACTATGGAACTGACAGAGACTCTAGAGGTCACTTAAGCCCACCCCTTCACTTTGTAAGTGACAAACTTGAGACACTAAGACATTAAGTAACTTACCTGAAAATCATAGAACTAATACTGTCTATACCAGATAAGACAGAGATGTTTTCTCTAACTCATTATAGTGTTCAAGGCCACTGTAGGCTTGTATGTACTACATTAAATACAACAAATATCTTGTTCCCAGAAGAACTTTAAAAGTATCTATCTTATGGTACTGAGTATCAACATTATCAATGTTTTAGTTTGAGAACACAAAATCATATGTACATTCTTGCTTCCTATTATCAATGTCTTAGTTTGCAGATACAAAATCATATGTATATTCTTAACAAGAATGGAAAAAGCATCAGTTTTTAGAGTCTGAAGCCCAGTTCTAACACTTAGCTGTGTATTGAGGATTATTACCATGTCTTCTCATCAGTAAAATAGATTACTACAATACTCACGTTGCCACACACATATAGTATAGTAAATGGCTTTTGGTGGGCAGATGTGGAATAACTATTAGTGCCCTTTTTCATAATAAAAACAAAAAAATGCATTCCCTGATCCCCTCTCTTCTCTCCAAAATGACAACACACAGTCGTATTATAAAGTCATAAAGGTTTAAGGGAAAAGATTACCAGAGTGAGTTGTGAAAACCAGTTTCTTATTCCAATTTTCTCATTTGTGGGTAAATCGGGTAAATCATTTAACATCTTTAAGTTCACTCCTCACTTCAGTAAAGTGAGAAGCTTAATCAAGTAAAATTATTCAAATAGTCCTGCCTATGACTCAGTGATATATAATTATGATGCTACACGAGTTTTTGGGGCCTGAATAATAAATACCCAAGTTAAATCAAAAGCTTTAAGCTTTTAAAAATTAATATGGAGTATAATTTGACATTTCTAAAACTTAATTTGGGATACTATAATTGACTATTTTATATATGTAAAAGAAAAGTTCTTAAAATTACTCACATCTGGTTGAATGGCTTTAAATACTGGAACATCCATCAGTGTTATCTGACCCTGAAATGAAAAGAAAAAAAATGACACTCTCTTCCTTGGAATTCTATATGACATACATTCTAAATTGAAGTCATACTCTGTATTAAAATGTATTAAATACTCAAATCTTTATAAGAAAATAAGTAATTTTATAAGGGCTTACAGAAAATGAAAATTTAGCCCTATACAATTAGATATAATTATTTCCAATTATCTCATTCCTATTTTCTTGTGAACTAAATAAGGTAAAATTAGAAAATAAAACAAAAAATAATTTTTAAAAAATTGGACACAATTATACATTCCATCAATAACAAAAATTATATCTACTGGTTCATGGAGCAGTGTTGTTTGACTATTAAATCTTATCTCCTCAAATAGTAATATAAAATCTGATGCTAATATGTTTTCTTTCCAATTTATAAAATAAGAGACTATACTAGTGGCAACTCATATGTAAGGGTACTTCACATGGCTGAGGACCTATCTCACTTATGGCTACAGATGTAAAACAAAACCCAACAATATACCAAAGAAGAATATGCTATGACCAAACAGCTTATTCCTGGAATGCCAAGAGTGGTTCAAGATCAAGAAATCAATATATTCTCTTAACAAGTTAAAGGAGAAAGAACGTAAATAAACGAACACTTATGTCTTTTAAGAGATAAAAGTTTTCTGTATATCTTTCATGATATTGCAATCATGCCTCCAAATTTCAATTTTTTTCATTTGCAAAAAAGTAAAAAGACTTCTTATGCACATCAATAAAGTATAGGTGGCTTTGGAAGGTGGTATAGGTAGGAACGACAGCAACTACTATAAAGGTAAATATTTGATTACTTATTAAGTTGAAAGTGTAACTTAAGAAGCTTCTCTAAAATTACCTACACCTCTCCTTACCTTCCCCATTTCATCCCTCTACTTGCTCCAGCATTGTGCTACTCTCTCCATTAATTCCCACATCCAGCTTTTTTCGGCCATCTCCTCCACGAGGCCTGCAAAGTCTAGCTCAAAAGCAACAGTACATAAATTAAGTGTAAAAACTAGAGAAAGGAGAGGTGAGAGAGGCTTACCGCATATTCTTCTGGTGTAACCTTAAGAACATCAAATACCACAGCATCAAAGCTTTTCTTCAATTCGGAACCTTTGTCACTTAATGATTCAGAACTGCTACTTTTCTGTTAAATTGAAAGGAAATGCAGCCATTTTAATATTGTGTAAGAGTCAATGTCACAGAAACTATGAATGGCATTAAAAACTGACAAAAACTAGAACAGTGGATGAACAAACACTGGAAAAGTCGCGCAGAACACACTGCTTAGCTGCAAGAGCACTGGATAAAGAGTGAGGCAGTTTGAATTCCAACCACAGCTTTAGATCGTTAGGTTTTGACAGACAAGACATTGTCATGACATCCTATCATTTCCTACAGAAAGAAAAGATTTTAAATAGCTCAATAATTCTTAAATGGGGTAA